CCACCAGCTCAGCCCTGGGGATCCTCCCACCCGAGAATGGGCTTTTCTTCCTCCCAGCACCTGAAAAGGGAGGAAGGGAGCCATTAACAGCGCAGTCTGCTCCACAAATGGCCCCAGCTCAAACCCCACAGCTACCACAAGTCACTCCATTCCATTTCTGCCTGCTAAGTGTAAAATTCCAATTTTACAATTCCCCAGGAAAAAAGGAAAAAAAAAAACCCCATCTTTTCCAACTTCTTAACAGATCTCAAAAAAAAAAAAAAAAAAAAAAAACCTTGCCAGAACTTCAAGGTTTACAGAAGATACATATTCATAACACATCTATTTTTACACTTGAATTCTGGCATGCCCACCTCTCTCAGCTGGTAAAGCTGTCAGAATAAATAGGAGGCAGCACCTGGAAGGCTGACAAGCACCCGAGCCATGTCAGACAGGAGCCAGTCACTGTCAAGGAGCGAGCCAAATCCCTGCGCTTCCATCCTGCTGACACTCAGCAACCCAAATACCACCGAGCTGCTTATCACAAAGTGCTTCCTCCCCCTCCCTCTGTTTACTGTTACAAAACCGGCTGGTTGTCTGATAAAGCTGGTGGGGGTTTCCAGATTAAAACAACTATGTCAGCGATTTCCTCAGTTATAACAATGCCAAACATACAGGGAACAATTCACAAGACAGAGCCAGGAGTGAAACAAAGCTCTGGAATTTGGAGGCCTGAACTGCTGCTGCTATGGAGAGAGGCAGGAGGGCATCTCTGTCTCACCGGACCACAGAGATGCATCACTGCTCCTCTGCAGCTGGAAGCAGTGCTGGCCACGCTCCATGGGATGGAGCTCAGCACCAGGGCTGTACGCCGGCCCCAAACGTGACCCTGGTGCTTCTGGATGTGACAGCACAACAACATCACGCTGTGGGCTCCGTGCCCGGCTGCTGACGGGGACGCACACTTCAGAGTCCAAGCGTTCCCTTTGGAAAAGGGCCAAACACCGTAACGCAGAACATATCCAAGTGAAAACCATGTAAGAACTCCCTTGGATAGGTTTGGTGGCAACTGAGCAGTGGTATTTTGCAACAGTATCTGACCTGCAAATCCAACCTCCTCCATTCTCTGACAGCGGCTCACCAAGTGGGGTACAGAAACACAGAGGAATCCCAAAGTGACACCAACCTGCAGCTCTAGACAAGTCCACACACGTGTCCAGCTCTGTCTTCCAGCAGCAATATCTGAACTATGCCCACAAGAAATAAGCCATGGAGCAGACTGGAACATCTATGACATACAAAGGGAAGTGCTGCAGTGCCACAAGTGTTCTTACAACCATAGCAAGAGAGCAAGGGCTGAGTGCTCAGACAGGCATTGCCAACTCTCAATTGCACCTCACGGACTGCACTGCTTCCAGGTCCACCTGCAGGCTTTCTGCTCATTAACATGGGCTCACACACCTCTGCCATGTGCACATGAGGGAGATAAAACACCTGGCTACTGCACTCACTGCAAGGGCTATGGCTAAACCAAGGCCAATATCACATTATCACTGAACTACAGAGCCGGACACAGGAGCAGATGCCAGAAGACTGCCAGCCCACGTGGAGAAACACGCAGCACAACCACAGATGGGTGCTACTTGGAGACACGCTCTCACTGTACTCACACTGCATTGATGATTACACAGATGAGGTGCAGCTCCTTTGCCCCAGTGCCCTCCCAGCTGCACAGAGCACTCACATCACTTCAGCAGTCAGCCTGGCCTAGGGAAAGATGCAGTCAGCTAACGCCTGGCTCTCCCAGCAGCAGCATTTCACCTTCCATTACCTCACATCAGCTCCTCTTGCTGAGGTGTTGTTTACACAGCTACTGATGTCACTGCAGAAACAGATCCTCATCAATCCTTTTAATCCCTGCAGATCCCTTTAAATGTTCCTACACAGACAGAGCAAACAGTGCTGTCCTGGTCCACAGGTGACACACCAAGCCACCTGCTTCCCAAACCAGCCCAAACTTCCACCCAGCTCAGCTTTCCCAGTGCAGACTCACTGTGCCATCCCAGTAATGTCACGACAGCAATGGCACCAGCAGAGCCATGAGGTGCACTTGGGGAGCACTGCTCAACACCAAACCTCAATTCACTCTGTGCAACAAGAGTGACTTTCTTACCGTGACAAGAACAAGGTGAGAACTGCCAAGCAAATTAAAACCAGAGATGCAAAAGGAAGTGAAAGGGAGGCTGTGGAAACGGAGGGGACAGATGGGGATGTGGGCCAGCAGCTTTCAGGACAGATCCATGTGAGTGCCAACACAGCCGAGGAGATTAATTACACAGTGTCATCTCTAAGCTCTACTCAAATTTAGATGCATGGTTTAAAGCTATGCATATGTTCATTATGTCCGTGCAAATTAATAAGAACAGTATTTGCACATTAACACAACAGCATAACCTGTTTGAGGATCTGATGATCTATTTACTTACAATTACTGTTACTCAAATACAGGTGCTGAGCTTAGCACAAAGAAAATCAAGTGCTGGATTAATTGCTGCACAGCAGACAGAGGGAGACTGCAACCGAGGGCTTCACGGGCACGAAACACAGACCTTCAGCATCCCTCCTGATCACAGCAGAGTATTTAAGAGATGGAATCAGACAAACGGAAAAGATTTCCCTTCCCTGAAGATGTAGGCTAGAGACAGCTATCCATTCTGCACACACCTTTCACATTCATCTTTCTAATCCTTGCTGGGTGAGTCTCACTGACTTCAATTCCCTTCATCTCTCCCAAACTGTATGCAATTTATACCTTTAGTTACACACACACATCTCCCTATATATAACCTCCTAGCCAGAAGATGCAAGATTTTCTTCTGCAGTATGCACTATAACTCTTTGAGAATATATATTATGCACTGAGGTGTGAATTCAGAAGCTTGCTTCTGTTAGGAAGTTATACTTTAATTTAAAAGAGCTTTTAAAAATCTCAAACAGGTCCATTGTGGTCTCATCCTTGCTCACACCCCTCCAGCACTGCACTGACAAGCACGTGCTCGCATTGCTCCTGCAGATCAAGGCAAGAGACAGGTGCCAGTATGAAAGCACAACGAACAATGGGACAAACAGTGGTACAGCACAGCTCCTGGGCTGATTCCTACTGAAATAAGGTAACACCAACATCGAAAATGCAGACCTTTAATTCATCCATATGAGGGCTTAGTACCTCAGAGACAGAATCACACACGTGGAAAGGGTGCACAGCCACCACCTCCCCCAGCACGGGCAGCTACCCCCCACACGCAGGGCTCCAGCCATGTCTGTACACGGAGCTTTCTCTTCTGAACGGATTCTTGTGTGGGGAAACAAATGCTATCTGCTCCCTCCTTCCACAACTCTCTTGCAAAGGTGCAAGCTGTGCTTCCTGCTGCCCTGCAGATCAACCTCCAGCCAAGCGCCGCTGCATCAGTGGTACACAGAGCACTGCAGCTCCTGAACAAAGCACTAATTCTCCTCCAATCTGCTACAGAATGAAATTGAGAGCACTGTGATTTTCCATCTTAATTTTACGCCAAGTCTTTCTGCGATGAAAGCCAGCATATCGCATTGTACTGCTGGGCCCACACAACAGCTGTTCCTAACATACTTGTATTTTTCATCCTCTGACACTGAAAATAAGATTGCTCCAAAGCTGATCCTTAGGCAGGCTCCCTATTGCTACTGCTCAAGCAACAGATACCACTCAGCAACGAGCCCTGATGGAGAGGAAAAGACCGTTTCTATCTGTTCCAAAGACGTCACTGAAGCATTTCAGCAGGTAAGCTGTTCTCACAAACATCTGTAGTTTGCTTCCATGTAGAATGACCACCTTCTGCACCCAAGTACGGACAGCCCTATTGCAGCACCCCTGCAGCTTGTGCTGCACGTGTACAAGGGGCACTTCAGAGCATTTCCTGCAGCCACACTTGGATGGAGCACTTCAACCACTTACATTACCCACACAATTGACATTTTAGTACTTGAGACATGCAGCACCTCATAGAAAAATCAGACAAGCTTTTACCTCTGTAGTTTCCATGGATTTTATTTGGAATTCATCTGATCTACTCCAGCAGCATTACTGTACCACAGCAATCATTTGACAGAGAGCAGTATAAAACTGGCAGAGCCCCTAAGCCAGCACTCTGAACAGTACAGTTCAAGATAATATTCCTCGTGGTGAAACAAACAACTGCAATTAACTACTAAAACACAGCACGGATGAACACGGACTTTTTTGCTCAAAAAACAAGGAATACAACCAGGTGAATAATCTCTGCAATTTTACTTTCACGAAGGAGTTAGCGGGCAGCAGCCACAGGTTATAACTTGAAACCTTACATGAGACTGAAAACCTCATGTGAACTTTGCAGCAACTGCATGGCATGTCCAGGACATCCAGAGCACAATGCAAGCTTCTCTCTGCTGTCCTCACACCCAGACACCTTCTGACACCAGTGATTTTGCTCAGTCCACATTGCTGTGCACATGCATTAGCTAGCTATTGGGAGGGCAGGGAAAGCAAATGAGATAATGGGCGTGAGATCTTAACTCACCTGATTTATTCCTCAAGGAGAAGAGATGAGGATTTCAACAAACAAAATGGACTTGCAGAACAATTTAGAAATGGGGGGGAAATGCCACCTCATCCAACCTCTAGCTCAGATAATGCCTAGTTTCAAGTTCAGACCAATGTGCACAGTGCACGGTCCAGTTCAATTTAAAACCCTTGGACACAGTTAATGGAGTAGAAAGTGAAAAAGGTGGCTCATTCTTAAAGGAAAGCTCACATCCATCTCAACAGATGTAAACACACGTATCTGCAAAGCTTTGTGCGTGCACCCATAATTGTCTCCAATGGGAACGTGACAACCTGCCCCCATACAAACACAGCTTGGAGTAGGAAGAGAGCAGAGCACAGCGTGTGCTGCAGCTAAGTGCACAAACAGCTGCAAGGCAAACGTAACACAGGAACTTCTTACCTCCAGGCCTGTACACAACGTCATCCTCCGTGATGAAAGACGTGATTTCACCGTTGTCTGTTCTCTCGTATCGGGATTTCTTCTTGGGTGGTTTCTTTTTGCTTTTCTTCGTGGACTCCTCCGTGGTGGCACTGTTGTTGTCATTGTCCTCGTCTTCGCTGTGGTCGCTCTCTGCATAATTCTTGGCACCTCCTTCCAACGTGCAGCTCCGCCGAGGACGCGAGTTCTCGCTCTCCCTCGCCTTATCTCTCTTGTCTCGCTCCTTGTCCCGGTCTCTATCCCTGTCCTTCTCTTTGTCTTTGTCTTTTTCTTTGTCTGCTGTCATGATTCGCCACGTGCCTTCTTCTGTCCTCTCACGGCTGGGCCTCCGTGAAAGGTAGACAGTGAGCCTGGGCTTCAGTCTTCTGAATTTCTCACTCAAATCCAGGAAAAATTCAACCACTCCAACAACCCCAGCGTTTTAAAAAGGTTCTTGAAGGAAGAAGGGGGAGGAAAGAGGGGAAAAAGCCTGTGTTAATATTCAACTTTCAATTTCTGAAAACACCCATGAAAACAAGACAAGCCCACACCCCAAAGTTATTTAGCCCAGAAAATACAACGCTGCAAATACAAGACAGCCCTTCAAAGCACTTGTGGAAATGACAGCTTCACCCACCTTCCCAAAACCAGAGTGAGTGGTTTTACAACCAAGCTGTAACCCAGAGAGTACCGGAATGAATGAACTGAAAATAAAACAGTACTTAGAGAATTTGCTTCTCTACACATCATGCTTCCTTTACCACTAACAGAAGACAGGGAGGTGGATTTTATAAGCCACCAGCTTCACACACTCGGTTTCCTGCTGGGGAATAGAATGGGAAGAGATAATCCTATGCTTTTACCTCCTTGATCACTTAATCAATACTCTTAAAATCAACTGCATTATTTTTTCCTACAGTGCAAGCCTAGAGTAAGCAAGCCCGGATTTTCTGCTGCAAGAGAACCTTGCAAACCTTGTCCTGTGGGCCAGGATCCCCAGAGCACAGCCAAGAGCACAGAGGGGCTGCCCACCACCCAGCTCCCCCACTGCCATCCCCAGCAGCCAAACTGCAGGCCAAAGAGCACCAGCCCTGTGCAGCCTCGTCTCATTATTCTGTTCTCTCAAAATGGAGTTTCCTTCAAACGCCCTCTCTGTTGCTCAGATCAAAACGACCCTGCCTGCATTCTGCATGCTACACCTCGCAGCAGCAGCCAGCAGCACTTTCTGTCTCCAGAGAGCCTTCTAGCAGCTCAGATATCTATCTTCCCATGGTCATCAATCCAGGGTAAGAGCTGGGAAACCCATTATTTTGCTTTGCGCAGAAAAAAAAAAACACACACACAAACCAAGAGCAAGCAGAGAAGTACTCAAAACACTTCACACCTCTTCAGAAGAGATACCTGATACTCAGTACAAGAGAATGCCAACGCAGCAAGTCACACCAGCAGCCCCTATTACTCCTCCCAGGAGTTCAATCTGCTATCCTAAAACACAGTCCAGTCCCATCTTACACTGCAGATTCTGCACCATTCATAAAAACAGAGCAGCTGTAACTCGAATTTGTGTACTAATTGTGTACCAACCCAATTCACAGCAGCCAACAACTCCCCAGGATGCTGCACTGCCTGCTGCGACCAGGAACCACTGCGCTGAGCAGAAGGCTGCAGCACCTCCAGCACAAAACATGGGACCTAAAAGGGCTGCATGCCTGCATGTTAAGTGCCTGGGAGCACACTGAGGAAAGTAAAGGACTACTTTAATTTTTAAGGAGGCAGTGAAGCTGCGTATTTGCAGCCTACGATGCATTCCTGGCCCTGCCAACTATTGCTTGCAGCAATGGAAACAGCCACAGAGACAAATTGCTCTTACTGATATAGTTCAGGCTGGAGCTCGAATCTCTCGGGCATTTCCTGAATGAACCAATCATCCAGGTAAGAAACGATTCTATTTGCTTTCCTCCTCACAGCAGCTGCCGTCGTTCTGCTAACACACAGGGGAACCCAGTGCAGCTCCAGGAGAGACGGCCACAATGAACCTGTCAATTGCCAGGGAAGTTGCAGGGATACTGATAGCAACAGTCCGTGGAGACTCAATAAGAAATGTCTTCCATTTCTAGAGGCTAGGAAACTCCTCAATAGCAAGCTTGAGGATCCGTCGTTTTCCCTCCCCCCAACCCCTTACTGTTGTTACAACATAATTAAGAGAGCAAATAATCATTTATTTGGAATGAAAACAAATTACTTCCCCGGGGCTATCTAAAATTCCAAGCAGTGGTGTCTCAACCCATGCACAGGAGATCTCTCCTGGAGACTAGAAGCTGCAGGGTACACAGGATGCCCCACAAGTTTTACTCAGTGGCCTCCAGCGATGGGTACAAGCCAGCTGTATGTGGCTGCAGCTCACAGGGGCTCAACTTCTGGGTTAGGAACAACACCAAGACACTGAATCCTAACAAAGAAGTTCTCCTTTCAGAGCCTTTCCCGTTGCTTCTCATTGTGCCTGTTATACTCCTCATCCTCATCATATATAACTACACTCTTCAGTTATTAAAACTTGAATGCTGTTTACAGATTGATTTGGGAGAACATAAAGAAACAACAGAAGGAAGAGTCACAGTGCCAGTCCTTTTGTCTTGTTCTCAGTGACACCAAGAATGAGGGAGAAATAAACCCAGAGCTGATGGTAACTGACAGATCATTCATCCGTATTAATTCAGCTGCATCTTGAAACATCCTGAGGTCTCTCTCACTCTTGAAATCTCAAGGAACCAGGAGGAATTGTGCAAAGAATCTGAACGAGCAGCCACCACTGCACTGCAAGCTGCTCCTGCACATCGTGGTTGTGAAAGCAGATTTCAGCTTCACAGAGCGGAGCATGCATTAGGATGCCAGAAGAGCAAAGAAAAGCTTCTTTCAGCTATCACTAATTAAGCCAGTATTACCACAGAAAATATTCAATAATCTTTCATCCAAGCGATGACCCAAACATGTTTTGAAGATTCCCGGATATATTTTGCCCCTCCAGTGAAATACAGCCCATATCACCCACAAATAACTGCACAGCATTTCTGCCAGAGAAGCTCTGAGAAACGAGGCCAGCTCTGGGCACCGAGCTGCTGACCTGGCCCAACCACAGGCAGCTCTGTGGTTATTTCATGTCTGCACCTGGAAACCATTACCGGAGCCAAAGCACTGCAGCTCAGTGCACGTTAACACCAGCTAAGAGGTTTAAATACCCAAAGAGTTGGGTTTTAAAGATAACGTGGAAGCAAGTCCAACAGAAATGCCATGAGGCCAGAACGGGAAGGCAACCAACCAGACACAGGAACCCAAAACATGAGAAGAGCTCCTTCTTGCACTTTCAGCACGCCAGGCAGATAAATCTTTTGACAAGATTTGCTTGGTGACGCGTTAGCAGCCTTCATAAACACAACAGGACCATTCTTCTCTGAGTTCTCAGTCTCGTATTGCAAGATAGAAAGGCACTGTGTTCCACTAATATCAGATTAAAGGAAGTATGCTCTGCAACTGCCAGAATTTCAGGTCTTTCCAAGGAGTTTTTCCTATTTTTACATCCAGGAAGAATTTTGGAAGTTTATACACTTCTTTTGAGTGCAAAGGACTAAACAACAAGAATCGGCCCATAAGGATTCCTCCACACATTGATGAGATATGAAGTACTGCCTTAAGAAAACCTTCAAGATCCTTGGTGAGAAGGGAAACTAACAGCACTGGGGAGAGGAAATCTCAGCTCCATCAGCCACAGCACAGCGCTGAGCTGCAAGCATCCAAGCAGCTCCAGTGCTGTGTGTCAGACATGCACCCTCCTGCCTCCAACACACCCCAGGGCTGCCTGCATACAGCTCTGCCTTCCAGACATCCCACCCCTGAGGCAGAGCTCATTAACAGCACCGAGGGCTGATCTCTCTGCTGAGGCATGCAGTTTAACCTTTCTGTTCCAGAAAAGGCTAAGAGCATCTGTTATCAGCTTTCCCCCACATTCTTTCCCTATCTTCTGTTTGCTGTTGAAAACGGGAGTTGCAGGCATTCAGGTGACCAAGTATTTTGGGAGCTCGTTCCACTAACAACTTGGTCAGCAAAGAGCTTGTTCTCTTCTCACTTTTCTCTCCATCCCAAAACAACTATAAGAGACTCACTTGAAGACACACCTCTTAGCAGTGGCCTTCCCCGTCTCCTTCACTGTGCTGGGAGTTCACAGCACAAACACAGCTCTGGAACACTCAGCCCAGCAATGGTCATTACGAGTTCCATATTCACAGTTCAGAGCCCTTGTGAGCCATCTAAGCGTGCACAGGCATTCATTCACCTGGAACTGCTCTCCACTCACCATCCCATCAGCACACAGCAGAACACAGGCCCTCCTCGGTTGCAGCTCACAGCTCCATAGGAAAGGCAGAAACCCACCACACACCTCATGGCAGACCACAGCCTTATGTTTTCCCCTCCCTACCTGCAAGAGGACCCAAACTCAGTGAGGAGCGAGAACAAAACACAACAGCTCTGAGCACAGAGGCAGACCGGAAGGCCAGGGATAAAACTAAGGTGCAATTATCAGCTATCACCTCCCCCCAGAACTGCTGGCCCATATTCACAACAGTGACTGAGATGAGAACACCTACTTCTGGGCAGTTTTACACACTGGCTTCCTTAAAAAGTAATGCAATCCCAAATTAACCCTGGGAGAAATGAAACTCGTTTAAGAGCAGCTACATACAAGTCAACAGTCTTAGAAAGTTTCTGTACAACCAACGCTTCCCCGGATAAGTTAGCCAGAGTTGCAAGCTGCTCAGAACCCCTCAGGTGATTTCAGAGGGTGTGCTAATGGCCTCTGTAGTTGTAATTAGTGGGAGGGAGCAAGCAAGGAGCAACAGACAGTAAACACAACACCAGGGATTACTTCCTTGTCTCTGAAGCCAGCCAGGCTCATGTAAATGATTACAGCAATATAGGTCTGAGTAACACAAAGCAACAGTCCCATAGCACCACTTACAAACAAAGTTAAGACTTGTTAAAGCGTTCCTGCAGTGCAGTGCAGCTCCCTGCTGCCATGGGCTGTGGGGGAGGAAGGCCCACGGGGCTGCACAGAGCTGCTACTGCAGTCAGAGCTGTTACCTGGGGAGCATCGCGTCACCAGGAGCTGAGACAACACCTGCGTGCTGAACAATACTTAAAAAACAAAGTTAACAATTATGCTGTGACACACAGCTTTATTTATTTATTGATACTATAGTTTTATCAGGCACAACAACTTCGCTTGCCTTCCAACAACCACATCGAGCCAGCAGCAGGCCAGAGGACAGCTCAGCCAACCAAGCACAAATAACAAGAGACAGCAAGTGAGAGGCAGGAGGAAAGCTCATGCCAGCAACAGCCAACCTCTGTGCCAACCCATGCACCAAGAGCTCCGTCACAGCCTCCCAGTACATCACGTA